TTCACGGCCAAGTGAGGGTTCACGGCCGTGAACTCATTTTGATGGTGATTCCGGCTTGATTGCAACTCATAGAACTCAAGTTAATACTTCCTAACACACAATCCTTGAGTGTACTAGGCTTAGAAACTTTGAAACAGACCCATAACAAGGCTAAAAGGTAACAGAAACGAGCCTGACTTTTGATTGATTGAATTGACTTACAAGGTAGAAATTTTCGGGTTGTCACAAATGGGCCGACCTTGGTGCCTTGGAACTGCACGTAAAGTGAGGAAAACTCACATTGCAAAATGGACAAAAGCTGATGAGGTAACGACTTTGAATCTCAGCTCTCTAACCAACACCTATTCCAACCAAATGACTAATCTCCATAAAAATCCCAAATTACCCAAAATACCCTGAAGGTCAAACTTGGTCAAAGCCAAAGTCAAATTGGTCAAACCAACTAAGCCAACCCAGCCGAGTCAACCCAACCGAGTCAACTTTGCCATATTGACTCGGACTGAGTATGCGGGGCATACTCCTAAGGTACTTTAGGCGTACTCGTGCCTTCGCATACTGACCACCATCGCGATGGTTGACCTCGTATGCAGGGCGTACTCCCAAAAGCCCAAAACATCCATTAAGAGCTTAATGGCTTAAGATCTTACGTCCATATTTCAGATCCATGGCTAAAATACTCTTTTGACTTAGCATGTCCAATAAGTGTTTAACTCAAGGTCTTAATCCATTAAGACCTTCTAAATGATGCATGGAGCAAAACTAACCATTTGGAACCCATTTTTATGACTCAAGACCCTTCCAAAGGTCTGAAAGGACGACTTAATGGGTCAAGAACATGCTTTGTTCAAGAATCATCATTTTAGGACCAAAAGGAGACTTTAAAGAGCAAAAAACTAGATCTACAAGATGGAGTAGTAAAGATCCAAGATTTATACCTTTTAGAGGTTGCAAACAAGCTAGGAATCCCAGATCTACAATGACCTCCACTCTAAGGTCTTTACACCACCTTCTTCTTTCTTCAAAAACCACTCCAAGCTCTCTTAAAGGCTCACAATTTGCTCTCTCTTCCTCTAGAGTTGCTTGAGGGTCGAAATCTCTGAAAGAGGCTGCGTAAGAAGAGGGTTTATGTCTATAAAGATGATTAAATATGAGAAAAGACCCTAAAATTAGGGTTTGCATGCCAACCACGTACGCCCCGCGTACGAAGTGTGCGCCCAACGTACTAAGGCGCGCCTTAATACGCTTAACGTACACACACGTACGCATGGCGTACTCAAACTTCCAGATTTTTACCAAATTGCCACTATGGTCCCCTTTTCACACTTTCTTACACTTAGGGACCAACCATGCAATATAACTAAATTATAGGGTTTAAATTAGAAGTACCTTATCATCGGGGTGTTACATGATTTGGCGCTGGTGGTCAACGTGTAAAATGTCTGACTCATCAGATGATAAGATGCGACCTTACAATCTCCCCTATCTAATGATGTCAAAACTTATCTTCAAAAAAGTCATCACAATCATCAAGGTCACCATTTGAGAATTTCTCAGCTTCAGTCAAGATCTCAGGCTTTAACCACTTGAATTCATCAAGATGAAGATCAGTTAAACGATTATTGAGTTCAAAAGAGATCAGTACACAATATCCTCTTTCCAGCTCTTTATGTTGCATTTCTTCCAGACGAAGATTGAACAAATGCTCTGTGGGGGCATTAGGAAAGTCTTTAGTGCGTTGAAAGCACATTTGGTTCTGGCTGTCAAGATAGAAAATACCATGTTCTGGTTCAAAGATTTACCGAAGATTGGTTGCTTGTGGACAGTTAAGAGTATGATATTTATAGGAAGGACCATAGTGACACGTTTTAGATTGATATGGTTCTTGGTTAATGGTTATATGGGTTATTCATGTTGTTGTTTGATATGTTGTATGTGGTGGTACGTCGGGGGAACTCACTAAGCTTTGGCTTATGATTTTAATTTATTATTTTAGGTACTTCTGATGATCGCGGGTAGGCGAAGGTGTGACCGTACACATCCTCCTGTTTTATGGACTTATGATTTTGGGATACTCTGATGTTGATAAACACTTTGGAAACAATGATTTTGTAAACATTTTATGATTATGAGTTGTTTTAAAAAGTTTAAAATTGTTGTGATTTTTGAGATGTTATAAGGAAGTTCATTATTAGAATAAATTAGAATAAATGTAATTGATAATGCAAAAAACGGTTACTTCTTTCTCTTGATAGGAAAAGATTCAAATGGAATAATGTGTAACTAAACAAAACATCTAATATAAAGTAGTGCATTTCCAATTTATTAATTTTTGCTTATTGTAGAATCTCCTGAAGTATGAAAAAATGAATTTGCTTATTGAACTTTGGTTTGTTTTGGTTGGAATTGACTTTGATTTTACGTCTTGAATTTTTATTTTTCTAGGTTGTTCGTTAAAGCAATTTTGAACCATGTAGCCCAAATCAAAGAGACCACAAATCATACTAATGGACAATCCTAATTAATTATATAATCTAATTAAGGTTGTAATAATCATGTTGTATGATAAATTGATATACTTTAAATTTCACGAAATTTTACTTCTATTTTGACGTATATTTTATTCATAGAAAAAATGCATATTTGGTTAATTGATAAATTTGTTTTATAAATAACTAAAATTATAATGACACTATTTCTTACGACATGTTTAAATATAACAATTATGTAATTTAACTATCTAATAAGTATTCTTAAAATATCAATTTTAACATCCCTTAATATTTCCAAAATTAATATAAATTGATTTTTATATTAAAAAAATCAACTTACACTAAAAAATTAATTTCATACATTTCATCCTTAATAAACAAAAATTATTTTGCACATCTCATGTTCTCTTTTATTTTTCCATATATAATTTTCTTAGCATTTTTTGACTAATTTGTTTCCCACATATCATTTTTTTATTTATTCTATTTTTATTTAACTGACACGTCATTAATTTAATTAAGGCAAATCATTATTAGAATAAATTAGGATAAATGTGATTGATAATGCCAACTCGAAAATTGTTACTTCCTTCTCTATATCTGTAAATTCAGTAGTTATTTACATGAGTAATATTGTATAATTCAACCTGATATGATTAGCTAAAATCAAGGTGTTATTGGATGAATTATTTCTTAAATAAATCTTATCATTTGATGTCTTGTTTTTTTTTGGAATAAAATCCTTATTAATAACAATTTCCAAGCTTAAATTTATATATCATATGATCAATGTTTGTTAATTGTTAGTCCTTTCTCCAGGCTCAAGTCATCAATGTTTTTGTGGACTGCATCATCACATCATCAGGTACTAATCTTCACCTTTTGATGCGATATATAGATTTGAAATGTAGTTAATATGTTATCAAATGCATTTAATCGACATCGACAATTATTATGTTTTTTACCATCAATTTGTTTGTGATACCGGGTATAATTAGGACTAGTTCAAATTGAATGTTTTTTCGTTTAACATCTCCATTTCCCCTTAATTGATTGCTAAACTTAGTACAACACACGAATGTTTTTTCATCTTATGAAGTCCTTAATACGACTGAACAAATTAATATTTACTTTAAGGATACTTTTGGAATTTTGTCGACACAGTTGTTTTTATCGACATAGTAAATTATGTAAATTGGCATTGTACTTGCAATGCTCAGTTATTCATGGAACATTTATTTCAGTATTAGTGCAGTAAATAACTATGCATTAATATTTTATGTATAACTTATCATATTTTAACAGTACGATACAGGGGCATAATGATAATTTTTTTATGTTTAAGAGCAAATTAGTCATTCTCTACTGATTGTATATTTTGCGATGACAATAAACAAAAGTCAATGACAGTCGCTATCAAATTTGGGTTTGTTTTTTAGACAACCAGTGTTTACTCATAGACGGTTGTATGTTACATTGTCCAGAATTAAAAACAATGATAGATTGAACATATTAATTTTATACAATGGTAGTAACCTTAGCAATAAGACATCTAATGTTGTATTTAAAAAAGTTTTTGGAAATATGTAATTCATAACTATTATGTACAATATGTCATTACTAATTTATCAAAGCCTTTGTATATATGTAAAATTATTATTTTAAAAATTGCTTAATGTTCATATTTGGTATTAAATTTATTTTTTTAATAAACTCGTGTAGCATATAAGTCTCACATCTAGTTTGATTATTTCTCTATAACATATTTATCTAATTTTATTAGAAAATTGTAAAAGTTATATTTTAACAAACATAATATCAATAAATAAGTGAATTGAAAAAGTATATAATAAACTTTTGTATTTTAAACTTACTAAAAAAATATTTTTACTTATCTAAAAAATTCAGATAAACATACGATTGTAAATTTTTTTTATATATTTTTATTTATTTATTTTTTATGTATATAATATAATAACATATAAAATCTATTAATTTTTTTTATTATTTTGATTTTAAGATTTATTTTATCAAATAAGTAGAAAGAAAAAAAAATAGAAAGATATTCGTTTTTTCATCACCATGACCATGAAGTTTAAATCTAATAAATTAAATATTTTCTTCGTGTAAAGAAAAAACCCATCATATATTTGTCCTTTGACCAAATATCTCGATGCATGTTACCCATCGTAAATTATTTTTGGCTGACGTGGTAATAAGCACAGCTGTCATCTACGGAAGTGCCAAAAAAAATTGGGGCACAGAGAAATTACGTGAAACATCAAGGGTAATTTAGTCATCTAACTCTGCCCTGTCTACAATCGTTGCACCTTGCTAAAGACAAATCTTCGTATCATCATCCTCAATCAACGCCCATTTTACTGCTCTCTTGCACCTCACCATCCTTCCACCAATGCAACCAAACCCCACAACCACGACCACCGGAAAACAACCAATGTAATCCGCTTAACCACCCCACCTACCACCACATTGCTTTCTGACGACAACACCATGAAGATCTCATCCAAATCCATCTTGAGCCCAGGTCGAGCTGGGGTAGCTCGAGACCCACCAAACTCCCTCTCAACCTCGCTCAGTCGTAGGCTCAGAAACAGTGGCAGCATCAAGGGCGGCGCGTCGCCGGCGATGTTCCCCACCACCGCCAAAAAGAGAGGCAGTTTCGAGAACCCGGAACCCTCTTCACCTAAAGTCACCTGCATTGGTCAAGTTAGGGTGAAGAGCAAGAAAAAACAAGCGAAAAAGCTCAGAACATTATCAAGAAGACACAGCGCCGGCGAGGTTAGTTTCAGAAACTTAGAACACCCCCTCAACGGTTTTGCTTCAAAAACTCAAAATCTCAATGAAAGTTTAAATCTTGGCTCAAATGCTACTCATCAAAATCAAAATCAAGAATATTCGCCGCCGCAGAGGAGCTGGGTTCATTTTCCGGTGACAATTTGTGACGCTTTAAGAACACTTGGATCGGAGTTCAGCTGCTTATTTCCTTGCCGGAAAGACGAGAAGACGGTGTCGACACAAGAGGGTAACCGTCAAGGCTGTGCAGTGTTTGCACGGTGGCTAGTAGCGGTGCAGGACGGAGATGGAGGTGGTCAGAGAGACATCGAATTGGTTGTCGGAGAAGAAGAAGAAGAAGAAGAAGAAGAAGAAGAAGAAGAAATTGTTGTTAAGAAATCAAGACGACATGTGTTTGAAGATCTAGAGATTATAAACGACAGGATCGAAGGCCATAAAGACGAAGCAAGAGTAAGCATTTGCGTTCCACCAAAAAATGCTTTGTTGTTGATGAGATGCAGATCTGACCCCATGAAACTCGAAGCTCTCACACATCGATCTTGGGAACCAACTGTTGCTAAAAATGAAGAAGACGACGAAGAACTTGTTGACCATGAACATCAAATCGAACAAGATTTAAAGGATATTCAGCAAGTCTTGAGTGTGGATCAAGAACAAGAAACTGTACAACTTGATGAAGCTATTCAAGATGAAGAACAAGAAAATGTACAACAACATGAACCCATTCAAGATCAAGAACGTGACGTTGTACAACAAGTTGAAGCTATTCAAGATTATGAAAATGTACAACAAGATGAAGCTAATCGAGATCAAGAGCATGAAAATGTACAATACACTGGAGTGGGTCAAGATCAAGAAGAAGAAAGTATGTTTCTTGAATTTTTGTTTGAAGAAAATGTGAATCAAGATTTTGAGATTCAAGAACATGAAGTTGACTCTGGTATGGAGGAAGCTCAAGAAGAGGTTTCAACAATGGTTATGACTGAAGTTCCAGAGATCTCTGCAACCCATGAGGAAGAAATGGTCAGCAATGAAGATTTAGAGAGAGAAAGTGAGGTGAAAAAGGAGAGAGAAAGTGAGAGAGTGTTGCCGGATTGTTTGTTAATGATGATGTATGAGCCCAAGTTATCAATGGAGGTTTCAAAGGAGACATGGGTTTGCAGTACAGATTTCATCAGACGAAACTCGAATAAAAGAAAACCTCCACCGCCGCCGCCGCCGGTGGTAAAAAAGGATGGCGATGATGAATCGAGGTTTTGTTCTGCTGCTAATGCTATTGCCACCATAAACAATGTGATGAGGGTGGTCGACGGAGGACGCCAATCGTCGTTACAGCAGCCGGCGCGGTCATCTTGTTCATTACCGGCACCGCCGTCGATGGCGACGATGTTAGAGCAGAAACTAGCGGATGCGATGGGGTACGAACCGTTTGTGCTGACAAGGTGCAAGTCGGAGCCGATGAAAACGGCGGCGGCTAAGCTACTACCGGAGAGTTGCGTTTGGGAAAACAGGAAGTTGGAGCGGCTGAGCCGGGGTACATTTGGTGTCGGCGCAGCTGGGTTAGGGTTTTGAGTTAGTGCTTTGCATGCTTGTACATTTTTTTTCTGATTACTATTTAGTGGTGGTATCGTACAAGTCGGAATGGAAGTAGGAACTTGGATTGTACAAGTATGTTATGCATGCATCCATGATATGTGTGTGTGTTTACACAATTTTCTTGAATTGTAACCTGCATTTGTTCATTTGTTTTTGTGATCCTTGTCATAATTGTGAAATTACTTGAAATCCTGGCTTTCATAAATTTGTCATATCGTATTATATATATATAATACTGTCAATTCCTAAAAGCCTTTAGCAACATTAAAGTTGTTTCTCTTTCTTATTTGGCCACAGAGGTCTTCTCTTTTCTTATTTTGCATCGGAACTTCAGCTTTTGCTGATGATTATCTTCTTTTCCTCACTTGGAATCTTCTTTTCGTCAAGGTCGGTTGCCGCCTTTCTCCTCCAATACGGTTCGTTTGTGTTTTGTTTATATTCTTCTTTGCTTCTTTGCGTTACTATTTTGCTTTCGCGTCGGCGTCAAGAGGTTGCGGTGGTGAGGAGCATCGCCAGTGAGGGAGCACTGTTTCTCTCTAGAAGCAATTCAACACCACCATCAGCACCGTCTGCTCCGGTTCGTCTCCACCATCTCTTAGGGATGGTTTTCACCATTGCTCCTCTAAGCATCTCTCATTTAGATGTGCTCCATAATTTTTTTTTTCTGATTTTCTACGATTTTTGTCTGCCCTGTTAAAATCTACACCACCATCGGAGCACCATCAAAGAATCTCATCACTACTGCAGTAGTCACCGGCTTCTGATGAGGTAAGAGGATTGTATCGATGTGTTTTTTGACTGGGTGTTATTCTGATTTGTTCGTTTCATTTGAAAAAATTAGGGTTTCAGACACGTATATCTCCATCGGTGTGGAATCTCCGCTGCAACAAATCAGGTAGGATACAGGTATTTTTTTAATTTTACATTTCTATTCCGATTGCAATGTCGCACTCGACAAACAGTGAATTCCCGTCTGATTGCATCGATTGCTTGCGTTTCATACACATGCGTTTGATACTGTTCAGCCCTAATTTCTTCAAGTCTTTCGTTCTGCTTGACAAACTTTTAAGAGGTAAGTTATAAACTCTAAGTATAAATTGCTGAAATTACTTGGATTTTGTTGTCTGCCTGTGGAAATAACCTTTTCAATTTTTATTGTTACAAGATTACAAATCTGCCCTTCTTATATACCCTAATTATTTAATCCTCTATTTCAGATAGTTCATGTTGAAGAGGTTAACAATTTTCAGCCAATTCGTATTGTTAAATACAGAGTGAACACTGTCTTTCCGGCTACCATCGCTTGAATGCCCCTGTTTTCAATCAGGTTATTTTTTTCTCCGATCCTCAAATTTGTCCGGTTGTCGCGCACGATTCTTCCTACTTCTCTTATTCCCCATCCTTGAGGTAAAAACCGTAACTTTTTAAGTTGATTTCCAGCTTTTGTTTGAAGTTTTAAAGGCCTGTTGATTCATTTACGCTTTCTGATTAAAGGCATTTGCTAAAGGGTGAACTGGTCAATGGCGTTATTAAGTTCTGGCCTTCTATATCTGTCCCTTTTTTGTCCAAAAGAAACAGCCAAGGACACACTCATCCAGACATTCATTTTTTTCTGTGGTTACTCTGTTTCTTCAAAAGCCAATCAGGTACTAAAAGAAAAAGTTAATCTGCCCTTTGATCCTTTTAATCTTATAGAGATTATGATAAGGCTTTATGGCTAAGTGTTTGGCTGTCAAACCAACAAATAATGGGATAAAATAATATTAATAAAGCTCAAGTCATTGCTATTTCTTATACTAAAGATAGTATAGAGTAAGCAGGGTCGGTCCACAGGAATACATGACTTCTTATCTTGCCATATTTTCACACATAATACAAATAATATTAAAATGGGGGATTGTGTTTGAACTTGAATTAAACTTCATAAATAAGAAAGATTGATAACAAAACGCAGTAAAAGAAGTACATTTCCGATTCTGACTCTTATACATGTATTATGTTGAAAGATGTAATATGATTATAACTCATGTTCAATCTAGGTTGGTAAGTTAGATATTAATAAACTCTAATATCCAAATTGGCAAAAGTATTTTATTCAAAACAAGCTCTTCAAATAAAACTTCATTTAATTGATTCAATTCAAATAAGTTCTTGCATCAAATCATTAAATGACATTAAGTTTTTGCACTAATTACCAACAATGTTTAACATTCCTCTTAAGCTTGGGAATATAAACATTTAATCTTTGATTGCACTAATTTTGATCTAATTACAACCAAGTAAGTGTGTGTTACTAACATCAAATCATAAAACATATACGAATTTCATAATTTGATTAACTAGATTGATAAGAACCCTAGTTCATTGATCAAGTGAAAAAGAGAACTAACCAAACACATTATTAAGATCAAATCAAAGATTACTAGATGTTAAACACAAATCAAGTTCAAGTTACAACCTAACAACACATACTTAAGAATTCAGATTCGGAAATGATAATGAAATCAACCACACATGTCTAGGTTAAACTACAAATCAAACAAGTTCAAACTTCAAATTGACTTACAAAAAGGAAATTAAAGTGTTTCCAAGTGTTAATCTACTTCCAAAAGCTCTGAAAATCGCCTTGTCCCTGCCCAAAATCCGACCTAACCTCCAACAAAACTGATTGTCCCCATTAAATGATAGTAAAACTACTTTAAAAACTGTCGAGACGTTTACACGGCCCGTGTAAATTAAAGGGTGCCATTTACACGACCGTGTAAACAAGAAAAGAAGAATGCTTTTGCATATGCGTTTACACGCCCCGTGTAAATTATAAGCCATCATTTACACGGCCGTGTAAATGTCTGAAAGGCTCAAATCTTCATTTCTTCATTCTCTCTCTCTTCAATGCTCCAAAACTTTTGAAACTTTGTCTCCAACTCTTTTTAACTTCCTCCATCAAGATCCAACCTTCAAAAGTCCCTGAAATATCATAAAAGTGTGTGAATGGAATTGCATCATGAAAAATCCCGAAAAATATGCAAAATGCATGAGTTTAAACCTAAATGCAATGCACTTTTATGAACTAAAACTACAAAATGAATGCATGAAATGCATCTAACACTAAGCAATTATGTCGTTTCTTTTAGATTCATGTTAATTTGATAGCTAAGCGATTATGGCTAAGCAATTATGTCGTTTTTTTTTTGTTTAAACAAATTTTCAAGTTATTTTTGGCTCTGATTTTTGCGTGGAGAATGTTCACGGGGCATCAAAGCACGAAATAGAAACAACGCAGGAGGCGGAAATATAGGTGTTGATTCTCCTTTTTAATATGATGGAATTAAAAAAACAATGGAAACGAATGAACCATTCCATTTCATTGTCATGTTCACTAGGCTAAAAGGAATGAAATTAGTCATTTATATGATATTTTTTACTTTGTTATGTTTAATTATAAAAAGAAATGAAATTAAATTGATAAATAAAGAAAAAATGTGATATTATTATAATCCAATTGTTGTTGAAACCCAAATCGATATCCTCAAATGGAATGTCTTTGAAAAACAGAACTAAAATGCTTGGGTGTATGTCCATGTTTAATTTTTTGACAGCTTCTAATATGTTCTTAGAGTAAACTACAGTTTCGATCCCTGATAATAATTGGTTTTTGCAGTTTTGGTTCTTATTTGAAGTTTTGAAATATTTTTCATCTTTTTTCCAAATAACATGACCATATTTATGAGACCAATATTGAAAAAACTAACCATATTCATCGATGAAAAGCAGTCATTCTACTTGGAATTGACCAAAAATATTAAAAAAACCTCAAACAAGGACCACTATTGCAGCATTTTGTTTCCAAAAAGGTTTTCTTTGCAATTTTCGTCTGTTACAGGTATGCAATAGTACATTCAGTCCAACAGTAAGTAACTATTGCAGCATAGTGTTCCTCTGTTACACGTATGCAATAGTACATTTATCTTCTTCATTCCTTTCCTTTTTTTGTTCTTTTTTTCAATTTTAGTTTTTTTTTTTTTTTTTTTTTTTTTTTTTTTTTTTTGTGCATCAACACTGTATTACCTAATTGAACACCAACATTAACGCACTGCAATCTGTCGATCTTTACTAAATTATCGTATTATTATTTCTAATATTAGTTATTATAATTATATTAAATTAGAAATTATTATTGATTGTTGCAGGATAGACAAATTGATTATGGGGAATTTGTTGCAACAATGAGGAAGGGTAATGGTGGAATTGGGAGGAGAAAGGCGGCAACCGACCTTGACGAAAAGAAGATAAACACGAATAAGGACAGACTGAACAAATCCTTGATCCTTTCGTTGTCCCAGTATTTGAATTGCATCACCCTTATAAGTTAACCACAAAGAAGGAACTAAAACACAGAAAATATCCAAAAAAAAAAAGCAAAAAACTACAATGGAATTTAATAACTTACATTCTTGTCAACAGCTAAGAACCATGTTTCCTGATTCCTTATTTGTGGGGTCCACATGCGTAATATTCGAACCTAAAAAAAATCAAAAAACACGTATGGGCAGTAATTGGATCTTTAATTCTTTATTATTAGGAGGTGATTAGGTGATTTTTCAAGTAAAGGGCATTTTGGTCAAAACTGAAAAATACCGGACATAATAGATAGATAATATATTGTATATAGACAACATACGCATTACAGCCTTAATCTGAATGAACATGGTGTAACCCATACAAATGTAGGCAATGTACTTTTTTGAATTAATTAGAGGAATGGAATGTTAAATATGAAAGGAGAATACAAACGTGTGATTAGGCCATTTTATTTATTTATGTCAGTTTCTGTTAACTTTTCTTATGTGATTCTTTACTTATTTTACCATGTGATTGAATTTGCATGAGCAGATTTGCGCTTGGAATGGAAAGGAAATCATCTTCAAGCAAACTAAATATTTGTTTCCATATAATAGTGTCTCTTAGTGCGAAATTGATGGAATGAAAAAGATTTTCATTTTTCTTGCATTTTCCCCAAAATTGAATCGAAAGGTATTCATCAGTTTGTTAATTATATTCCTAATGCAACTATATATTTTATATTAATTTTAATTGTGGAGTGAATAAAACTATTTGTAGTTTATCAACATACTATGCATATGTAAGCTTTCAAGGTCATATTTCTTCTTCTTTTTTAACTCTTCACATTTTTTTTTTTTTAAATTTTTTTAAATTTTATATACTATTTTCTAACAATATTATAAAGAATTGATTGAACATTGTAATCTCATGTTTGTATAATTTCAGAAAGATAACTTCCAACTACAACAGCCACACCAGAAGATTGGATTAAACGGATACAGTTGCTATTTGGGCAAAATCGGGAAAAAAAATTCGGCTATGTTTCAGATATATCCTTCTCAAATAATGCATGTTCAATGTAGATACTACTAGAACAAATTACTCTACCCCTACTACTTTTTTATCGTATAATAGTGGAGATTAAACAGCTTCAAGGGCAAGATGGTCATTACAACAGGTCAAAATCGAACCATATGAGTGTTTTTGCAGTTTACTATTAATTTATTAACGATTTCTGAAGTTTTTTTTTTTTTTTTTTTCAGTTTTTGGATACGGACAACCATTGAAACATAGGTCATTACAACAGGTCAAAATCGAACCATATGAGTGTTTTTGCAGTTTACTATTAATTTATTAACGATTTCTTAAGTTTTTTTTTTTTTTTTTTTTCAGTTTTTGGATACGGACAACCATTGAAACATATAGTCCAAGGGAAATCATGCAACCATTGAAACATATAGTCCAAGGGAAATCATGCATCAGTACTCAGATTACACACATATATATTAGTACTCAGATTACACACATATATATATTGGCTCTGCAATTACATTAATGCAAAAAAATAGCAACATACTTATATTTATTTGTGTTCTATGTCACCCTACTTTCATTACTTTCTATTACGACATTGTATTGTTTTATTGTAGGGGCAATTTGGTATAATGGGATTTAACGAAATTTATAATTAATTTATATTAATTATATACAAATAAATAATATTCTATTATAATTTTATAATACATAATATTTAGAACTATCGTAATAACAATATATATAATAATACTAAATAATAGTAGTATTTGTTAAAAGTATTTGACAATTCATATAAGTTATAATCTTTGTTGGGGTCCTTTGGATCACCTGAAACAAGAAGCAAAAAAGTATGTTACTTTTATTGTATGTGTTTTTATTTTACGATTTATATTTTATGGAAGTGCATTTGATGTGTTTGTGGTTGTGATGCAGGGCTGATTTTAAAGGAGCCAGTATGAGTCGACAGAAGTTTGGGAGTGGAAGAGCTGTTGAAACTTCTCTTTCATCATCTCCTTCATTGAAAGGGAAAAGAGATGTGATGGCTAAACATTCAGGTACACTTCCTTCACTTAAAGGAATAGCAATTAGCTTTGTATATATCATCCTCCTTACAATTCTTCTTTCTATAGCATTAATTCTTTACTTGTGTTTTTGGTTTTTGCAGAGGCAATGGACTTCGGAGATTGGTGCAAAAATGAATGTGTGAAGCTTCTTGGATCCAAAGGAGGTCCTCCTGTATGTCGAATATGTCTTCATTAATATGGATACGAGGTTTGTGGGTTGTTGGCTAATGTTTTGACTTTTATCAGAAGAGGTTTTTGCTGACAAGAGAAAAAAAACGAACACAGCGCCAACGGCGCGCATGATTCCCCTCTAGTTAATATAAAGTGTCAAGTCCATATCAAACACTAAATTATTAAATGAGAAATTTCGAGAAATAACCAAAAAGAATGGTTGTTTCGAAGAAAATGACCATGTAAATGCGGATCTTGGTTTTTTTAATTTTTTTTCGTTTTTTTAATTTTTGTTTTCGTTTATTAATATTATTATTTTTTTAATCACATAATGTATTATGTGATTATTATGTAAAAAAATTTTGTTTTAGTTTTTCTTTTTTCTTATTTAATTATCCGTTTAAAAAAGCTGTGTGTTTAATAAAAATTATACAAATATTCCATGTTTTATATAAAATTACACACACCGGTATTCTGAATAATAAACATACTTTAAGTAGGTTACAAAACATACTTTAGAAAACATAAACATACAACCTTCGTAATAAACATACTTTGAAATAAACTTCATTCATTCAAATAGAACCACGAAAACTTTGATCTATTACAACCTTCATAATAAACATACTTTGAAATAAACTTCATTCATTCAAATCGAACCACGAAAACTTTGATCTGCAGAAGTCCGGGTAAGGAGTTTTTGACACATCACTTAGCCACGTAAGAACTGTTTTCTGCGGATCAGTGTACACCTCTGCGGATCAGTGTACACCTCTGCATAACTGTTAGGGAATACGCATAACTGTTTTCTGCGGATCAGTGTGCACCTCTGCGGATCAATGTACACCTCTGCATAACTGTTAGGGAATACGCATAACTGTTTTCTGCGAATCAGTGTACACCTCTGCGGATCTGTTATAGAAGTTATAGACGTATTTAAGTGGGTTTTTGTGAGTTTGTGAGTTTCAATTACCAGTAGAAGTTGTTTTTTCATTGTGTTTGTGGAGAGTGATTTGTAAAATGAATTTTATTATTTTGTGTACGGGAGGGTCATGACAGTTAGTTAACGGAGATGAGGTTTACGTTACAAATAATGTGAAAAAGTATGGTTTAGATCTTCCTCCTAACATTGACCATGAAATGTTATTACAAATGGTTAGAAGTAAGGCAGGTGTGTTAAATAGTCATATATGTTTGTCTTTTAAACACCCGGAGTTAGGGTATGTCATGGAGCTTGGAGATGAAACTGATGTATTTCAATTGAGACATGTAATGTCTGAATCAAAGAAGACGGTGCATTTGTATTTAATGATGGTAGGTGAAGAAGCTGAAGAACAAGCAGTGGTTAACAACCAGTTTAATCCAACAAAAACTAATAGAGGTAGTAAAGAAAGCCAATTTGATGGAAATCGTTCAAGGGGAAGAGGAAATGAAGTGCCAGTGAGTTATGAAAAAAAAGTTTCGGTTAATGATAAATTTGTATCTGATAATGATACTTTTGTATCAGATAATGATAAAGAAGCAAAAGTGGGCATGACTGAATTACAACGTCAAAATTTGTTCGAGTTTGGAGAAGTTCCTAAAATTGATGATCGAAGATGTGAGGAAAAATCAAATGAAGGGTGGTCGGATGATGAGTACACGCAACGAAAAACTTCTTTTAATCCATGGTATTGTATTCCTTCTATTCCTGATTGTCCAGAACCTATTCTTGAACCTGGACCATTTCACAGTTTAGGTCCGAATGATAAATTAATTGTCAATCAAACCTATAACACCCAAAAAGACCTAGCATTTGCTATTAAATTCAAAGCCATTAGAGAAAAGTTTCAGATAAAGGTTCAAAGATCTTCAAAATCTCGGTGCCAGGTTGTTTGTATGCAAGAAAACTGTCATTGGCGTTTATACGTATCTCTCATTAAAGGAACAGAAATGTTTGAAATTAAGACGTTTAATGACGAGCATACATGTTCTTCATTGCTTATACACCCAAATCATAGGCAAGAAAATAGCGAAGTTTTGGGAACCATAATACATGACATTATGGGTCAATGAAGTTTGAGAGTTTGGAGGCCTAATGATATAATTAGAGATATGAATGCTTTGCTACAAATAAATATGAGTTATTCACAAGTGTGACATGCTAGAGAATTTGCTTTGGGATTGATGATGGGCCCCCCCGAAGAAAGTTTCTCCAAACTTCCAGTTTATTTTCACAATCTGAAGAAACATAATCCTGGTACTGTGGCGTACATAAAAACTGATTCGGAGGATCGTTTTGAGTATTGCTTTTTCGCTATTGGATGCGCGGTAATATATTTTTAAATATATTTGTTATTTTCTTAAATGTTTATAAACAAATTATATTGTTGATATATTAATGGTTTTTATATTGTTGTTGCAGATACCTGCTTTCAGAGAGTGTTGTAGAAAAGTTATTATTATGGATGATGCTCATTTTAATGGAAAGTACAAAGGAACCATCTTGCATGCAGTAGCCATGGATGACAACAATCAGATCTTGCCTATTGGGTATGGAATTTGCCCAAAAGAGACTACAGATTCTTGGACATGGTTTCTTGAAAAACTACATGAATGCATTGATGATGTGGAAGGTCTGACAATGATCACAGATAGGGCACCCGCAATTGCTGTAAGTATTCAAAATGTTTTTCCAAATGCTCAACATGGATTGTGTGGTTTTCATCTAATAGAAAACATAGTCCACACCTTTGGAAAAAACAAAAAAAACAGCAATTTTGTTTTGGAAGCTGGTTAGAGCTTACAAAACCACAGAGTTTGAATTCTATTGGCGGAGACTTCGTAATATAAGAGATGATGTAGCGACATATCTCAGTCAAATTTCACGTGAGAAATGGACCAGAGCGTATTGCCCTACCATGAGGTATGATTATATGACCTCAAATAGTGCGGAGTCCATGAATGATGTATCAAATAAAGCAAAGAAGTTGCCTATATTACCACTTATTGAGTTCTTTCGCGCACTTACGCAGAAATGGCTTTACAAACGGCGGATGGCTGCAGGTATGATTATGTTTAATTTTAAATTATATGATAAATGTCATATATAATAATATATGTTTGTTTTAACAGAAAAAAATACAACAATACTTACGAAGTGGGCCGAAGATATGGTTAAAAAAAATAAAGAGGGGATTCAAGGATGGTCGGTATCCGGTGTTGACAATACAACATATCAAGTGCATGACTTCAAAAGTGGCGACATAGTGAATTTGAGGGAAAAGACTTGTTCTTGCAGATATTGGCAACTAACTGGTTTGCTATGTGGTCATGTGATAATGGTTTTAACGTACTTGAAAAATGATCACTGTGGGCATATGACTATAGATGTTTATAAAATTTAAACATATCGAAGAACGTACGAGCAGACCGTATACCCTCTTTCAGAACTTAGTGATTGGGAGGTTCCGGATGACCTTATGGTTGTTAACCCTCCTGTGATGGAAATATGTCAAGTCGGTAGACCAAAAAACACCAATCGTATTCCCTCTCAAGGTGAGGAACCAAAAATAAGAAAGTGTAGTAGATGCAATAGCACAACTCATAATGCAAGGACATGTAAGGAAATTGTTTCAAAAAAACAAAGTAAAAGTAAAAAACGTACTGGGGCGTCAGGGAGTGGGACAAAAGCGACAGAAAAGCAACCGAAGCAAGCGACCGAAAACCAATGGCAGCATGAGCCAGAGAACCAATGGACGCAACATACCGAACAACAATGGTAGCAGCAGCCAGACAACTAATGGACACAACAGACCGAACATCAATGGTAACATCAGCCAGACAACCAATGGACACAATAGACCGAACATCAATGGCAGCAGGAGCCACATAACCAATGGACGCAAGGGACCGAATACCAACCACATATGATGCAAGGGACCGAATACCAACCACATAAAGAGCCACAGAACCAATGGCAGGGTTGCACCGAGTACCAATGGCAGCAAGAGCCAGATAACCAATGGACGCAAGCGACAGTAAACCTAGGGACACAAGCAACAGAAAACCTATTGACGGAATACGAAAACGGATCAACGTTTCCGTGGTTCGATTTGAATGAATGAAGTTTATTTCAAAGTATGTTTATTATGAATATTGTATGTTTATGTTTTCTAAAGTATGTTTTGTAACCTACTTAAAGTATGTTTATTATTCAAAATACCGGTGTGTGTAATTTTATATAAAACATGGAATATTTGAATAATTTTTATTAAACACACAGCTTTTTTAAACGGGTAATTAAATAAGAAAAAGGAAAAACGAAAACAATTTTTTTTACATAATAATCACATAATACCTTATGTGATTAAAAAAAATAATAATATTAATAAACAAAAACAAAAAAAAAAACGAAAAAAAAAAAACCAAGATCCACAGAGGTGTTCATAGTTCCGCAGAGGTGTTTATGGTTCCGCAGAACCCCCTCTGCACTTGTGGTCATTTTCCAAAATCCTCATTTACATGGTCATTTTCTTCAAAACAACCATTATTTTTGGTTATTTCTCGAAATTTCTCTTATTAAATTTATCCTAAATCTAGTTATTAAATTTGTAAAATTTAACTATAACTTTTTTTTATTCAAATTGGTGTTTATGATCTATGATATAGCAATGGTAGCAAGTATCTGTTTTGAACAAAAATAACAAGTTTGGTGTGTTACAAGTTAAACAAAATTTAGTGTTTATGTTGACACATTTAATGATATAATTCTAATGCAAGATTCAATGTTTTTTTTTCAAATATATTTTAAAAACAAATATAAAATATGATCATTTTTATGTCTATTTTTCTTTTTATTTAAACATGATAATAAATACACGAATTTACTAATATAAAAAACAATAATTTACTCAACTTCAAAAATAAAATTTGCATCAATATCAATATGTAAATGTCTTGCATTTTGACCACCAAACGACCTTAAAGTCAATGTTTGACCGATCACATTTATAAAAGTAGTATTCACCATGGTTTGTCAAAATC